CTCTTGGCAGCCTACTGTGCCGAGCACGGCATTCGCCAGTCGTTCACGCTTCCGGCCTCTCCACAGCAGAATGGGGTTGCTGAGCGCCGCATTGGCTTGGTCATGGAGGTCGCTCGTACCTCCTTAGTCCACGCGGCTGCCCCCCACTTTCTGTGGCCGTTTGCGGTCCGGTACGCAGCGCATCAGCTCAACCTCTGGCCCCGTGTCTCCGCTCCGGAGACCTCGCCCACACTGCTGTGGACGGGGGAGGTTGGCGATGCGTCACGCTTCCGTGTCTGGGGATCCCGAGCTTTTGTTCGCGACACGTCTGCGGACAAGCTCTCCTCCCGCACTGCTCCCTGTGTCTTTCTTGGCTTTGTCCCGGATGCGTCTGGCTGGCAGTTTTACCACCCCGCCTCGCACCGCGTCTTCCCCTCTCAGGACGTTACTTTTGACGAGTCCGTGCCCTTCTACCGCCTCTTCCCCTACCGCACTGCCCCGCTCCCTCCCCCGCCTCTCTTCCTCGCGCCAGGTGCTGCAGTGGTAGACCCCCTTCCCCCTCAGGGTGCCGCTCCCTCAGGTGTCTCTCAGGTAGACCCGGTTGAGCCTGCCGAGGTAGCTGTCGACTCGCGTCCTGCTAGAGGTGCTGAGCCTGAGCGTGCGGAGCCTGAGCGTGCGGAGCCTGAGCGGGTGGAGCCTGGGGGTGCTGAGTCTGGGGGTGCTGAGACTGGGGGTGCTGAGCCTGGGGGTGCTGGGTCTGGGGGTACTGAGCCTGGCGTTGCTGAGTCTGGGGGTGCTGAGCCTGGTGGTGTTGCAGTCGACTGTGAGGCGCCTGGAGGACCTCCCTCTTCGCAGCAGCTACGTGAGTGGTACTCACGGTACTGCAGCCTCCGGCGGGGTGCGTCTAGGGCTCGTGGTGCTACTGGAGTTGGTACTCGTGTTTCCCCACCACGGCGGGAGCCGCCCTCTTCCCCACAGCTTCGAGAGTGGTACGCTCGGCACATCAGTCTCCGGAGTGGAGCTGCTGGTGCTGGGGTCCCCGGAGTTGACGCTGCTGCGGGTGCTGCGGACCCTGGTGCTGGAGGTGCTGCTGCTGCTGGTGGTGCTGCTGGAGGTGCTGCTCGTACTGAGGACCCGGGCGTTGGAGCTGCTGCGGGTGCTGCGGACCCTGCTGCTGGAGGTGCTGCTGGTGCTGCTGGAGGTGCTGTTGCTGCCGCTGTAGTGGAGGACCCGGAGGGTGGAGCTTCTGCTGGTGCTGAGGACCCTGCCGCTGGTGTCTCTGCTGGTTCGGGAGTTGCTGCACGGCCACGGCCGTACTTCGTTCCGCTCCTTCAGCAGGTTCTTGGTCAGACTCCTCCTCCTTGTCCTCCTCTCGCCTTAGAGTGTCCGCCGTCTGTCCAGTCACAGCCACAGTTACCGCCTGCCTCCCCGCTCCCTGTGCCTACTCCTTACACTGGTCCGACTGGAGGTCTTGCTGAGAGACGTGAGCCTGCGTCACGTCCTGTGTCACCTGCGTCTCGTCGAGCGTCGCCTGTTCGTGCTGCTACCACTAGTAGTCGAGTCCAGCGTCAGCGTCCTCCTGCTGTCCCAGGCACTCACCAGATGGGGCTTCGTCAGTCCACTGCTCCGCAGCGTGTCGTTCTCCCGTCGCCTCCTGCGTCCTCTCTTCCTGCTCTTGCTGACCCGGAGTCAGACACCCTTCGCGCTGCCAGTCCTACTGTCACACGTATCCTGGCTACAGTTGTCACTGACCCTTCCTTTGAGTCCGCTGCTGCGTCTGCCTTAGTCACTGAGCTTGTCGACTTTGCAGCTGCGTGTCGTCTAGACTACGCTGCGAGTCTTGTTGCTGAGTCTGAGTCTGTCTGTCCTCCGTCCGTCGGGGGTGAGTGTGCTCTTGGCACGGACGTTCTTGAGGACAGGCAGGAGGAGTTTGGTTGCCTTGCCGCTGCTTTGCCTCATCTCGTGTCCATGCTTGTTGCCCCTGAGGGAGACCCGGATGCACCAGACATCCCGACCCCACGCTCTTACGCAGAGGCGATGGCCGGTCCCTACTCCTCTTAGTGGCAGTCAGCCATGGACACAGAGATGGCTTCCTGGAAGTCCACTGGCACCTACGTCGACGAGGTTCCCCCACCTGGGGCGAACATCGTCAGTGGCATGTGGATTTTGAGGGTGAAGCGGCCGCCGGGCTCTCCGCCTGTCTTCAAGGCGCGTTACGTTGCACGAGGCTTCAGTCAGCGAGAGGGAGTTGACTTCTTCCAGACCTTCTCCCCGACCCCGAAGATGACCACTCTTCGGGTTCTGCTACACGTCGCCGCTCAGCGTGACTACGAGCTCCACTCTCTTGACTTCAGCACAGCTTTCTTGCAGGGCAGCTTGCACGAGGAGATCTGGCTGCGCCGCCCACCTGGCTTCACTGGGTCGTTCCCTCCTGGTACCCAGTGGAGCCTCAGGCGGCCAGTCTACGGTCTCCGCCAGGCGCCACGTGAGTGGCACGACACACTGAGGACTACACTTGCGGCTCTTGGGTTCGCTCCTTCTACTGCTGACCCGTCGCTGTTTCTACGCACCGACACCTCACTGCCGCCGTTCTACATCCTCGTGTACGTCGACGACTTGGTCTTTACCACTTCTGACACAGCTGGTCTCGCTCACGTGAAGTCCGAGCTGCAGAAGAGACACACGTGCACAGACCTGGGTGAACTGACAAGCTATCTTGGCTTGCGGATCACCCGGGACAGAGCACGGCGCACCATCACCTTGACTCAGTCACACATGGTGCAGCAGGTCCTTCAGCGCTTCGGCTTCACGTACTCCTCGCCTCAGTCCACTCCTCTGCCTACGGGACACTCGCTCTCAGCTCTGCCTTCGGATGAGTCCGTAGAGCCGAGTGGTCCGTATCCAGAGCTTGTGGGCTGCCTCATGTACCTGATGACCTGCACTCGACCTGACCTTGCATACCCTCTCAGCATCTTAGCACGCTATGTCGCTCCCGGCCGTCACCGGAAGGAGCACATGGATGTAGCTAAGAGGGTGTTGCGCTACTTGTGCAGTACGTCGGGCATGGGGCTAGTGCTTGGAGGGCGAGACCGGCCTGTTCTCACTGGGCACTCAGACGCTTCTTGGGCAGACGACCAGGCTACTCAGCGGTCGTCTCAGGGTTACACCTTCAGTCTTGGCTCTGGCTCTGTCTCTTGGCGTTCTACTCGTTCTTCTTCTGTTCTCGGCTCCAGCTGTGAGGCTGAGATCTACGCCACGGCCATGGCTGCCCAGGAGCTTCGTTGGCTCACCTACCTGCTGACTGACCTTGGAGAGCAGCCTCGTTCTCCTCCAGTGCTGTACGTCGACAACAAGGCAACCATAGCCTTGTGTCAGGAGCACAGACTGGAGCACAGGACGAAGCACATTGCTCTACGTTACTTTCTAGCTCGAGAGCTACAGCAGCGTGGTCAGCTTCTTCTGCGTTACGTGGCCACTGAGGCCAACACTGCTGATGTGTTCTCCAAGGCGCTTCCGCCTGTTGACCATCAGCGTTTTTGCACTCTTCTAGGCCTTGTGCCGACTGTTCCTCACTTGCTTACTTCTTGACTTTGCCTGTACTGTGATCATTATATATATACCTGCATGTTTGCCCTTGCTAGGTTGTGATCATTGTACCTCTTGCTCTGTTATAAAACTGCATGTGAACTGGTCTTGTGACCGCTTACTTGTGCTCGGAATTTGTGTGGAATCCTCGAGATCCACCCTGAGCTTGTTTGCCTTGTTTTGCCTTGACTGGTCTTGTGACCCCTAGGTCTCCCCCACTTTGTCTATGGGGGTGTGTCAAACATTATATGTTTGTGTGGTTCTAGGCTGTAGTGGGTCACACCATAGGGGGTACACCAGTTTAGGGTTTCATATTTGTACTGTTGTTCCTGCTAGTCACATCATTCCTGTTTCTCATTCTGACAGCTGAGAGACGTCTACCCCCCCCAAAAATTGAGATAGTGGGGAAGTGAAGGTGTGGATGCGGTCTGAGATGGGATCGTAGGCTCTGAATACCAAGTGTTACGAGTGCAAGTGAGTGAACGAGCGAGAATTGCACTATCGAAGCAAGGGTCCAATGAGCGAAGGTATGAGCGAAGAATATATAGCGAAACTACAGTGGTAACGGTAATGGTCGCGTGACGAGCCTGGGACTGAGGTTGGGAACGTGTCGAAGCGTAGGCCCGGAGCGCGGGTTACCAGCCGAGCCGTGAGGTCGGGATGCGATGTGCGAAAATGGCGGGATGATGAATGATGCGATGGTTGTGAGTGGTAACGGTGCTGACTGAGGTGCTACAGTGATGTACGCGTTGAGCAGAGATGCGAAGTAAGGAAAAGGGAATTTCCTTACAAAAACCCTGATGGAAAAGAATTTTCCCTAGGGGTCACACTGATAATCAGGGTTTTGCAAAGGTGCAGGACTGATGATAAGGGTTGCTTAAAACCAAAAATTAGCCCTGCTCGAGACTGTTAGACCAGCAACGCAACCACGACCTTAGGCTAGGGTGAGTGATTAGCCATGTTCTCCATAGTGAAGGCCGCCGCTTCACTAACTATAACTGTCATGAATTGCGCCAGCTATGCAAGCAATTCGCAAGCGGAACTAGCGCCCGCTAGGAAAGGCATTCTGCTCGCGTCACTTGCGCCAGCTATGCCGTAATTCCATTCTCGTCAAATGCGCCAACTTTGTACACGTTTCGCAAGGGTGCCGCTCCGCACATGCTGGCATTCCGCGCGCACCAGCACAGCTAACGTCATTATTATGCGCCCCGCAGCACATCGAACAGGAGCGCAGCAAAGCGGGGCGCGTTTGCATTGCGCGCGCGGGTGACGCTACGCGCGCCAACAAACAGCACGCGGTCCGCCAGAGGCCCGCGCGCCAGCGATGCGGCATCCAGAACCCCGCGCGCCCCACAAGCCAGCCTACCGCAGCCGCCAGTAACGCAAGCAGCCGCCAGCGCTAGAGCTTTCCGCCGCCCACATCCGCCCACAGCAGCATGGCCCCTTCCGAATTCGCCCTTCCGCATTCCCCACCCCGCATACCCCCTTCCGCGTTCCCCCTTTCGCATTCCCCCTTCCGCATCCCCCTTTCCCCATCCCCCCGTCCGCATTCCCCCTTCCGCATTCCCCCTTCCGCATCCCCCCTTCCGCATCCCCCCTTCCGCATCCCCCTTTCCGCATTCCCCCCTTCCGCATTCCCCCTTCCGCATTCCCCCTTCCGCATCCCCCTTTCCGCATTCCCCCTTCCGCTTTCCCCCTTGCGCATTCCCCCTTCCTCATTTCCCCTTCCGCATTCCACCTTCCTCTTTCCCCCTTCCGCATTCCCCAATCCGCATTTCCCCTTCCGCATTCCACGGTCCTCATTCCCCCATCCGCATTCCCCCCTCCGAATCTCCCCTTGCGCATCCCCCCTTCCGCATTCCCCCTCGAACATTTCCCCTTCCCCATCCCCCTTCCGCAATCCCCCTTCCGCATCCCACCTTCCGCGTCCGCCCTTCCGCATTCCCCCTTCCGCATTCCCCCTTCCGCATTCCCCCTTCCTCATTCCCTCTTCCGCAATCCACCATCCGCGTTCCCCCTTCCGCGTTCCCCCTTCCCCATTCCCCCTACCGCATTCCAGCCTCAAACTCACTCCCTCGTGCTTCTTGTCTGATAGCCCCATATTTCCCTCCATGCTAGCCCCATTTTCCCCCCCATGCCTCATGTTTCCCCTCATTCTATCCCCATTTTTCCCCCCTACTTCTGGCCCCATGTTTTCCCCCAAGCTATCCTCAGTTTTCCCCCAAGCTATCTCCAGTTTTCCCCCAAGCTATCCCCAGTTTTCCCCCAAGCTATCCCCAGTTTTCCCCCAAGCTATCCCCCGTTTTCCCCCAATCTATCCCCATGATTCCCCCAACCTATTTCCATGATTCCCCCAGCATGGCCCATGTTTCCCCCCTGCAGGCCCCATGTTTCCCCCCTGCAGGCCCCATGTTTCCCCCCTGCAGGCCCCATGTTTCCCCCCTGCATGCCCCATGTTTCCCCCGTGCAGGCCCCATGTTTCCCCCCTGCAGGCCCCATGCTTCCCCCCTGCAGGCCCCATGTTTCCCCCCTGCAGGCCCCATGTTTCCCCCCTGCAGGCCCCATCTTTCCCCCCTGCATGCCCCATGTTTCCCCCATGCAGGCCCCATGTTTCCCCCCTGCATGCCCCATGTTAACCCCCTGAATGCCCCATGTTTCCCCCGTGCAGGCCCCATGGTTTCCCCCTGCATGCCCCATGTTTCCCCCCTGAATGCCCCATGTTTCCCCCCTGCAGGCCCCACGTTTCCCACCTGCAGGACCCCTATTTCCCCCATGCCAGACCCGTTTCGGCCCCGTTATAGCCCCCTAAACTTCCCCCGTGATAGCCCCGTGTTTCCCCCATGGTAGCCTCATGTTTCCAAGGCTGGGTGGTGAGAGCATCGCTGCTCGCAGCAGCATGTGAAGTGCTTACACGCAAAGGAACCTCTCAGCCCGCACTATCTTACTCACCTTCGCTTGTCACATCCTTTATTCCCTACTTCCCGTGCTGCTGGCCCCATGTTTTCCCGTAAGCTATCCCTAGTTTTCCCCCAACCTATCCCCAGTTTTCCCCCAAGCTATCCCCAGTTTTTCCCCAAGCTATCCCCAGTTTTCCACCAAACTATCCCCATCCATCCCCCAAGCTAACCCCAGTTTTCCCCCAAGCTATCCCCAGTTTTCCCCCAAGCTATCCCCATTTTCCCCCAAGCTATCCCCAGCGTTCCCCCAAACTATCCCCATCCATCCCCCAAGCTAACCCCAGTTTTTCCCCAAGCTATCCCCAGTTTTCCCCCAAGCTATCCCCATGACTCCCCCGAGCTATCCCCATGCTTCCCCCTGTCTATCCCCATGATTCCCCCAACCTATCCCCATGATTCCCCCCTGCAGGCCCCATGTTTCCCCCCTGCAGGCCCCATGTTTCCCCCCTGCAGGCCCCATGTTTCCCCCCTGCAGGCCCCATGTTTCCCCCCTGCAAACCCCATTTTTCCCCCCTGCAGGCCCCATGTTTCCCCCCTGCAGGCCCCATTTTTCCCCCCTGCAGGCCCCATGTTTCCCCCCTGCAGGCCCCATGTTTCCCCCCTGCAGGCCCCATTTTTCCCCCCTGCAGGCCCCATGTTTCCCCCCTGCAGGCCCCATGTTTCCCCCCTGCAGGCCCCATGTTTCCCCCCTGCAGGCCCCACGTTTCTCCCCTGCAGGGCCCCTGTTTCCCCCCTGCCAGGCCCATTTCTCCCGCGTGACAGCCCCCCAAATTCCCCCGTGATAGCCCCATGTTTCCCCCATGCTAGCCTCATGTTTCCAAGGCTAGGTGGTGAGTGCATCGCTGCTCGCAGCGGCATGTGAAGTGCTCACAAGCAAAGGAACCTCTCAGCCCCATAGTCTTACTCACCTTCGCTTGTCACATCCTCTTCTCCCTCCCGCCCCTCCCCTTCCAAGGCTGGGTGGTGAGTGTGTAGCTGCTCATCTTAGTGTGTGGAGCGCTCTCAGCCGGCTGGCTTGTCAACTGGGGCCGCTCAATCGTCTGGGGTCTCTTGACCGGTCGGCCATCTGTCTCGCTGCTTGTATCGCTGGTCGACCCTTTGCTGCCAACCCTGCCTGGTGGGTGCACTGCACGCTCCACAGGTGACTTGGCCGTTTAACTCAAAAGTCGCCTGCTGGGTGCCTTGCTGTGCATGCCCTTGGGTGCCTTCCCAAATGCTCGCCGCACTGCTCACTTCCATGTCTACATGCTCTCCCCGTTTTTCCCCCCATCCTAGCGTCATGTCTATCCCCAAGCTTTGCTCCCATGCTTCCCCCGAGCTATCCGCAAGAGTCTCCCAAGCTATCCCCATAATTCTTCCAAGCTATCCCCATGATTCCCCCAAGCTATCCCCATGATTCCCCCAAGCTATCCCCATGATTCCTCCATGCTATCCCCATGTTTCTCATTGCAGGCCCCATGTTACCCGCTGCAGGCCCCACGTTTTCCCCGGGCGCTCACGTTCATATTCCCCCCCTGATAGCCCCATATTCCCCCCACGCTAGCCCAATCTATTACCAATGTTAGCCTCATGTTACCCCCTTTCTAGCCCTATGTTACTAGCCCCATGTTTCCCCCCTGCCAGCCCCAAATTACCCCGTGAACGCCCCATATTTCGCCCCAGGGATGCCCCATTCCCCCCCCCCCCCCCCCCCCCTATCCCCATGTTTCCCCCCTACTGAAGGCCCCATGTTTGCCTCAATGTAGCCCCATGTTATCCCCCTGCAGGCCTCACATTTCACCCATTCCAGACCCATTTCTCCCCCCGGATAGCCCCATATTCTCCCCGTGATAGTCGGTTGTTTCGTCGCTGCCAGCCCCATGTGTCCCCCCATGCTTGGTCCAGGTTTTTACAAGGTGCTAGCCCCATGTTTAGAAAGAGGGTGGTCTGTGCATCACTGCTCCCAGCAGCGTGTGGAGCGCTCAGCATCTTTCTTCATCATGCAGGCCCCTGCGGTGCGCCACGCCGACGCAACTCGTGGCATGCTGGCCGCCGAACCGAGGCACAGATCCAGTGCTGGCGAGACAGGTGAGATGTTTCACGTTGCCGATGGTGTCCGCAATGCTATTCCATCCAAGTTGTGATACATATGATCCATCTGCACATTTGCACGTGAGACTCCAGAGAACGATATCATGGACGAAACTCCCTTGTATTGTTATGCCCTCCCACCAGGTACAAATGGGGCAAGTGCAGCTGTTGGATCAGACGGGGATAGAGGGACCGCGGAGCACCCTCGACGCTGGGTGGATAGGCGCTCCCGTGGCGGGAAGAGGAGTGGGGCGGGTGCTGCAGTGCAAGAGGAGGTTATGGAAGGTCCAGATGAGCTAATCGAGGAGGTGACAGTGGCGCAAAGGTTTAGTGTACACTTTCATCATGTGATGGCACGAAGCGCGTTACGCTGGAAACAGGGAGTGCCAATGACTACTAAGGATGTAGCCAGGGAGATTTGGAGTGCAGCTGACCATTGGGCTGGGGACCATTCGCGCTGTGGTGGGGGCACAGAAACCCCTAGATGCGTGGTTGATAACTGGGGACCAGAGAGTGTACTGTACCAACATGGTTCGCGTACACATATCGCATTCAAGGAGTGGCTAGAGGAAAACTGTGGGGAGGTCGAGATGAGACCATATGTTCATGGGTCTTGCAATTGGATGAATGAATCATTTCATTCACTGATTTGCAAGTATGCTCCAAAACGCACTCTATTTCATGGAAGCATGAGGGCACGGGTTGGTCTTACAGTGTTGCATTGGAACCATTCATTGGATAGGGAGGTTTGTGCAACCAAGATCAGGACGAGTCGAGTTACCAGGGTGCGGCGTGGTAAGAGCTCGCGGATCTTAGGGCCTATGAACTGGAGTTGGGTCGACGACATAATGCGAGAGTGGAATTGCATGACACCTGCTGCTTCAGCGGTCCCCGGGCCTGACACCGCTACCCCCACTGCACCGGCAACACCCGAGCCCCCTCCGAAGCGGAGGCGTACCAATGAGGGACAACCCTCCATAGCACCGCGATCCTTGCTTGGTAAGTTTATGGGGGTGCATTTCGTCAATGTTGGACGACCCGCAACACTTACTAATATTACACATGAACATGTATATTCACTGATTGCAGGACCCTTGACAAATGTGCGATGACTTCAAGACGAACGAATCATTTGAGGGCTGCCATTCGTGTGTGAGTTTGTTATCTCAAAGTGTGTTTATGCTTACAACCTTCATTCTAATCCATTTTAGGTTATTATATTCACCTCCATCCATCCATCCATACATGCATGCATGCATGCATATGTCTGCAGAAGTGTGTGAGCCTGGCCACGTGCCTGCCAGCATCGTGCAGGCGGGCATTCACAGAGGGGGAGGTGGCAGGGGCGTTTTTGGACTGTGCGGGCATGTCCGTTGTGGCGCCCTCCACCATCCCCCGGTATGCCGCCACCCTATCCTTTGTAAGCCACCCATCTCGGGCCTTATGGCCTTGCGAAACAACCTGGGAGGACCTTTTGGAAGCTATATGTTCTGTTCTGTTGTGTGGCAGCAGTGTTTTTGTTTTGTTGTGCTACCCAACAGTCAGCTGGCGTGCAGGACACCAGCGAAGACCCCCTGCCGTGCGTGGTCAGTGAGTTAGGCGGGTGGTCAGTGAGGGGAGTTGTGGTGAGTGAGTAGGGTGTGTGTTCAGTCAGTGGAGAGGGTTATTTATAGTAGCATCGTGACACATTTCGCAAGAGAAGCTTGCTTCCACACTTGGCTGTCCCATACACAGCCCCACCCTGCTTCTCCATCCTCACACCTATTCTTCCCCCCACCTCTCTCTACTCTCCCCACTCGCCCCCCACCAGGGATGGACGACGAGCCACATGGCGTGTTCGCATATAGCAAGGTGTTTGATCAGCCGGGCACCATCTACTACGAGGATGGCGCTCTACCAGGAGACTCCACCTCGCCTTCCTCTTCCTCTTCATCCTCTTCCACCTCCTCTGCTAGTGTTCTCATTGTGCTGGCTGCAAGCGCAAGATCTGAGTACGCTGGTGAGAGACCGAAAGACCATGCCATGCCATCCCATGCTGTCTGCCGTGGTGCTTGCTAGCCATTCTTGTCTTCCTCCGATCTCCTTTCTGTCCATCGCCCTCATTGCATTCCCTTGTCACCCCTTGCATCCATCCTCTGCGCATCCCTTCTCCCCCCATCCATCCTCTATGCATCCCTTCTCCCCCCATCCATCCTCTATGCATCCCTTCTCACCCCATCCCTCCTCTATGCATCCCTTCTCACCCCATCCCTCCTCTATGCATCCCTTCTCACCCCATCCCTCCTCTATGCATCCCTTCTCACCCCATCCTTCCTATATGCATCCCTTCTCACCCCATCCCTCCTCTTTGCATCCCTTCTCCCCCCATCCATCCTCTATGCATCCCTTCTCCCCCCATCCATCCTCTATGCATCCCTTCTCACCCCATCCCTCCTCTATGCATCCCTTCTCACCCCATCCCTCCTCTATGCATCCCTTCTCACCCCATCCCTCCTCTATGCATCCCTTCTCACCCCATCCCTCCTCTATGCATCCCTTCTCACCCCATCCCTCCTCTATGCATCCCTTCTCACCCCATCCCTCCTCTATGCATCCCTTCTCAACCCATCCCTCCTCTACGCATCCCTTCTGACCCCGCCCTCCTTACCACCATCCACTCAGGTTCAGCAGCCTTGTGGACGGACGGCAACTGGCATATTTGCTCTGCAGCAACGAATGTGGTACTGCAGCCCCAAAAGCTTAGGCGTCCAGGAAAGGCGACCTGCTGCGTGTACCCTTTCCTCGCTCGCCTATCCTCCCCACCGCCTGCCAGCACCGTCACATTTCCCGCATTGACTGCAAATAGAAGTTGGCTGCACACTTCTCTGATGGGGAGTCACGAAGTTAGTGCCGTATGCATGGATTGCTCTGTGCGTTTACTTGTAACCAAACTGCTTTGCTTACATACTGTGTTTTGGAACAGTTCATGCTATACACTCATGATGTTTGCAACTTATAATGATGTCACAGAACACCGGGGTAAATAACTAGTTGGTGCAAAACACAGAAAGAAGTATTTGTTGGCACGACTTGTTGGGTCAGTCACAAACACCTACAAGGGGATGTGAGTGGGTGTCTATGGTATGTGCTAATGTTCAAGGCGGCAGATTGGATGATTGGATCAACCACGGACAGGCCGAGTGACCAAGAGGCTAGCTGCTTCACACGTGGCCGTGGCCACGCTCCCCTACCATTCACTCCCCCATCGCTGCCTATCCATGCCCAGATGGCTGGCACGTAGGTTGCTTGTGAGGCGCAAATAGTAGGATGTACAGTCAGGAAGGCACCCCACCTGCAACACAAGCACATAAACCGATCAAGGGGATGTTGATGTGAGAGCTGTTGGCTACGAGAATGAAACTAGTGTGGGATGCAGTGGAGAGGTGGCTTTGATTCGTGGGGATTGGCGCAGGTGGTAGAATGTGCGGAGTTGGAGTCACCCCACCTGCAAGTGAAGCACGGTATGAGAGAGTATCGCCATGAAAACATGGGTGGGCTGTATCGGGAGTTGCGCAGGAATGTAGAAGTCAAATTTAACTCCGAAACCCTAAAACAAAAAGAGAGTGTGGGAAGCCAAACATGGGAGAATATGAGTGTGAGAGACCTGAAGGGCAGGGTATGAGCAAAGTGCCCTTGGTAGGGGGTGGGAAAAGAAGTGGTATGGGAGGGGAGGTCAGAAGAGTGCCCCTGGAAGGGGGAGGGGAGGTGAGATGGTATGGGCAGGAGAGGTCGTATGGGGAGGGGAGGTGAGATGGGAGTAGGGGGTAGGGGAGGGGAGGTGACGACAAGGGTATCGAGGGATGGCAGTGAGGATTGCAAGAGTGAGAACGGCGTATGTTTTTTGAGAATTCTCAAAAAACAGGAGGAGTGCGTAAGGAAAGGAAGGATGGGGATTCGAGAGGGATGCGAGGGAAGGGAGGGAAGAGAGGGAATCAAGGGAAGGGAGGGAAGAGAGGGAAACGAGGGAAGGGAGGGAAGAGAGGGAAACAAGGGAAGGGAGGGAAGAGAGGGAAACGAGGGAAGGGAGGGAAGAGAGGGAAAAAAGGGAAGGGAGGGAAGAGAGGGAAACAAGGGAAGGGAGGGAAGAGAGAGAAAAGAGGGAAGAGAGGGAAGAGAGGGAAACGAGGGAAGGGAGGGAAGAGGGGGAAACGAGGAAAGGGAGGGACGAGAGGGAAACGAGGGAAGAGAGGGAAGAGAGGGAACCGAGGGAAGGGAGGGATGGGAGGGAAACGAGGGAAGGGAGGATAGAGAGGGAAGCGAGGGAAGGGAGGGAAGAGAGGGAAACGATGGAAGGGAGGATAGTGAGGGAACCGAGGGAAAGGAGGGAAGAGAGGGAACAGAGGGAAGGGAGGATAGAGAGGGAAGCGAGGGAAGGGAGGGAAGAGAGGGAAACGATGGAAGGGAGGATAGTGAGGGAACCGAGGGAAGGGAGGGAAGAGAGGGAACAGAGGGAAGGGAGGATAGAGAGGGAAGCGAGGGAAGGGAGGGAAGAGAGGGAAACGAGGGAAGGGAGGGATGGGAGGGAAGGGAGGGAAGGCAGGGAAGAGAGATAAGGGAGGGATGGGAGGGAGGGAAGGTAAGGGAAGGATGAAAGGAGGGAAGGGAGAGAAGGCAGGGAAGGGAGGGAAGGGAGGTAAGGAGGGATGTGTCATGTGACAACTCTCAGGGTGTGAAATCACGATGCATGATGCCAGCGGCCCCAAGCGCCTAACTCTTCCACACTCGCAGCAGCGGAGTGGTGGTGGCCAAAGGGACACGACATGAATCAGGAACACTGAAAACAGGGCGGGGAAGGGGTGGAAGGGGGAAGCATGGGAGGGAAGGGGGAAAAGGGGAGATGCGGGTAGGAAGGTAGGTGGAAGGAGAAGGTGTTAGACGGAGGGAGGGTGGAAGGGGAAGGCTGGGGAGGGAAGGAGGGATTGGTCACCAAACAAAGAGAAAGTTAGGTAGGAGAGTTGAAGAGGGAGGTAGCTTCCATGGTGAAGACGGAAGTGGAGAGTGGGAGGCAAAAAGGGGAGAGTGGGAGGCAAAAAGGGGAGATTGGGAGGCAAAAAGGGGAGATTGGGAGGCGGCAGCTGTCATGGGGACCCGGGACCTTGAGAAGGGATGGGGAGATATCGGAGATGGGGAGGCGGGATGACAAGAAGGTTAGAGAGCTTGTGGAGATGGGAAGGCGAAGCGAAGTGGAGGGGTGAGGATGAAGAGGTGGGCCTGAAGGGCAGAAAGAGAGGACATGAGAGGAACGGGAGTTGGGGAGGCGGGGAAGGGAGATGGATGAGGCGGGATATTATGAATGAACAAAAGGGGCGGCCCAATATGTTTGACGCTGATGGGGGCGGAGCTGAGGGATTGACGAGAGGGTTGGGGGGGGGGGGGGGGGAGATTGCAGGGAGGGAAGGGAGGGAAGGGAGATGCAGGAAGAGAAAGGAGAGAAGGGAGGGAAGGGAGAGAATGGCGGGAAGGGAGAGAAGGGAGAGAAGGGAAAGAAGGGGGGGAGGGAGAGAAAGGAGGGAAGGGAGAGAAGGGAGGGAAGGGAGAGAACGGCGGGACGGGAGAGAAGGGAAATCGCGGGGAGGTAAGAGAGGGAAGGGAGGGAAGGCTGCAAGGGTAGGGAAGAGAGCGAAGAGAGGGAAGGGAGTTTTAGGGAGGGAAGGGAGATAAGGGATGGAAGGGAGGGAAGGGAGGCAAGGGAGGGAAGGGAGTGAACGGCAAGACGGGAGAGAAGGGAAATCGCGGGGAAGTAAGAGGGGGAAGGGAGGGAAGACTGCAAGGGTAGGGAAGAGAGCGAAGAGAAGGAAGGGAGATAAGGGATGGAAGGGAGATAAAGGATGGAAGGAGGGAAGGGAGAGAAGGGAGGGAAGCGAGAGAAGGGCCCGGAAAGGGAGGTAGGTGAGGGAAGGGAGGGAAGGGATGCAAGGGAGGGAGGGGACGGAAGGGACTGCAGGAAGAGACCATGGATGGGAGAAAAGGGAGGGGAGGGAGAGAAGGGAGGAAAGGGAGAGAATGGGAGAATGAGAGGCGGAGATGTGGATGCAGGGATGGGGAGAAGGGGATGCAGGGATGGGGAGAAGGGGATGCAGGGATGGGGAGAAGGGGATGCAGGGATGGGGAGAAGGGGATGCAGGGATGGGGAGAAGGGGATGCAGGGATGGGGAGAAGGGGATGCAGGGATGGGGAGAAGGGGATGCAGGGATGGGGAGAAGGGGATGCAGGGATGGGGAGAAGGGGATGCAGGGATGGGGAGAAGGGGATGCAGGGATGGGGAGAAGGGGATGCAGGGATGGGGAGAAGGGGATGCAGGGATGGGGAGAGGGGGATGCAGGGATAGGGAGAGGGCGATGCAGGGATGGGGAGAGGGGGATGCAGGGATGGGGAGAAGGGGATGCAGGGATGGGGAAAAGGGGATGCAGGGATGGGGAGAAGGGGATGCAGGGATGGGGAGAAGGGGATGCAGGGATGGGGAGAAGGGGATGCAGGGATGGGGAGAAGGGGATGCAGGGATGGGGAGAAGGGGATGCAGGGATGGGGAGAAGGGGATGCAGGGATGGGGAGAAGGGGATGCAGGGATGGGGAGAAGGGGATGCAGGGATGGGGAGAAGGGGATGCAGGGATGGGGAGAAGGGGATGCAGGGATGGGGAGAAGGGGATGCAGGGATGGGGAGAAGGGGATGCAGGGATGGGAGAGGGGATGCAGGGATAGGGAGAGGGCGATGCAGGGATGGGGAGAGGGGGATGCAGGGATGGGGAGAAGGGGATGCAGGGATGGGGAAAAGGGGATGCAGGGATGGGGAGAAGGGGATGCAGGGATGGGGAGAAGGGGATGCAGGGATGGGGAGAAGGGGATGCAGGGATGGGGAGAAGGGGATGCAGGGATGGGGAGAAGGGGATGCAGGGATGGGGAGAAGGGGATGCAGGGATGGGGAGAAGGGGATGCAGGGATGGGGAGAAGGGGATGCAGGGATGGGGAGAAGGGGATGCAGGAATGGGGAGAAGGGGATGCAGGGATGGGGAGAAGGGGATGCAGGGATGGGGAGAAGGGGATGCAGGGATGGGAAGAAGGGGATGCAGGGATGGGGAGAGGGGGATGCAGGGATGGGGAGAAGGGGATGCAGGGATGGGGAGAGGGGGATGCAGGGATGGGAAGAAGGGGATGCAGGGATGGGGAGAAGGGGATGCAGGGATGGGGAGAGGGGGATGCAGGGATGGGGAGAGGGGGATGCAGGGATAGGGAGAGGGGGATGCAGGGATAGGGAGAGGGCGATGCAGGGATGGGGAGAGGGGGATGCAGGGATGGGGAGAGCGGGATGCAGGGATGGGGAGAGGGGGATGCAGGGGATGGGGAGAGGGGGATGCAGGGATGGGGAGAGGGAATCGAGGGAAGGGAGGGAACCAAGGGAAGGGAGGGAAGAGAGGGAAACGAGGGAAGGGAGATCGGGAGGTGGGAATGGGAGAAGTGGAGGCAAGAATGGGAGAAAGGGAGGCACGACGGGGAGAACAGGATGCGGAAAGGGGAGAACGGGATGCGGAAAGGGGAGAACGGGATGCGGAAAGGGGAGAACGGGATGCGGAAAGGGGAGAACGGGATGTGGAAAGGGAAGAACGGGATGCGGAAAGGGGAGAACAGGATGCGGAAAGGGGAGATTGGGAGGCAAATAAGTGCCTGCATGTTGTGGCGCGGTGAGCGTGATCAAGGTGGCGTGAGGAGGCAACGCAAGGAGGCGAGGTGACGCTGCCGCGTGCGGATTTGCGGCGAGGCGACGCCGTGGCGTGCGTTGAGGCGAAGCTACGACGCGATGTCCGGCGAGGCAGCGGGTTGGGACTCGAGGGAGGCGATTTGCGGCAAGCGGATCATGCAAAAGAAGGTTTTTTCTAGGCTGCGTGGGGAGGCAAGGAGACCACTACGGAAAGCGCGGCGAAGCGGCGAGGAGAGGCGAAGTGAGGGGCAGCAGAGGAAGGCGTGACAAGATTCCACATTGCGCGTGTACTCGTCGGTTCGCGCGCGTGATCGCAACCCTACGCGTGGCCAGGACGGCTGCCACACTAAACGTATGATTGACGCGACGGCGACGCGTGCGACGACTAAACGAATAGACGTGTATTCGTCGACTCTGCCTTAGGCGAGCCCAAGGGATCTGCTACGGTCGCGTCGCACTTAAATGCTATAGGTATGTTTTTTTTTAGTTGTGCAGGCTCTGAACGCTACGAGAGTGCGCTGGTGCGGGGGGGATTGCATTATACTTTTGGCATCTACAAAGTTTTGACACTCGACTGGGCTCACTTGGTGGGGAGGGAACCCCTCCTTTCTCGAGAAAGAAGTTGGGTGGCACGTAATTCGGTAACCACCGTGTACCTTTTATAAACTTTGGGCACTGGCCCTGCCAAATGTATATTGCTGCTTTAACTGATGCTGCAGCACATGACTGAAAGCGTTAGTGCAATTGTTGTGTTGCACATTCCAAAGGCAGGGCAGTAAGTGAGTGACATCTGAATAGGGGCATGCTGAAACTACCGTAACTTCAAATCCTGTCTAAGTAGTTTCATTCCAGGCTGACTGACCTGACAACCATCCGCCCGTGCCTGGCTGACAAAACGCAGGTGAAGTGGGAGTGTGACCAACTGTAAGGAAAATTCCTTTTCCTTACTTCGCATCCCCGCTCAGCGCGTACACCACTGTAGCACCACAGTCAGCACCGTTACCACTTGCAACTCTTGCATCGACAAATCCTCCCGCCACCTTCGCACGTCGCACCCCGACCTCACAGCTCGGCGGGTAACCCGCGCTCCGGGCCTCCGCTTCGACATTTTCCCCAACCTCAGTCCCAGGCCCGTTGCGCGACAACCACAGTCCATTACCGTTACCACTATAGTTTCGCTATAAATTCTTCGCTCATACCTTCGCTCATTGTACTTATGCTTCGATAGTGCAATTCTCGTTCACTCACTCAATTGCATTCGTAACACCAACTCTCTACTAAATTGTCCATGCCTTGCGGCATAAAAACAAAATCAAGAAGAAAATGTGTTAACCCGACGAGCTTTTGAAATAAAAACCTTTTTTTTTCTCCAAAGTGATAAGTCATCTCTGTGTCAAGATAGCAAACATGAATGATTGCATTGAATGAATTGTGGTTACAACTACTAACCTTAACGTTGGGTTGTACCTCATATGGGTTACCCCACAATAGCCTACACACAACTAGCAAAGTGGGGGAGAACAAGGGGTCACAAGACCAGTCAAGAAAAGCAAAACAAGCTCAAGGTGGATCACAACGTCACCACACATTCCGAGCACAAGCAAAGGGCCACAATGCCAGTTCACATGCAGGGGTAAATATGCAACAACAACAGTACAGTGATCACTACCTAGCAGGAACAAGCATGCAGATATATATATATATATATATATATATATATATATATATATATATATATATATATCACAGTACCAGCAAAGTTACGAAGTGAGCAAGTCAGACGAAACAGGCACAATGCCTAACATAGTACAGAAACGCTGATGATTGAGAAAGCTTGCTTTCTTGTCCTTATAATTTGGCATCGTTCTCATTGCAACTGGCTTATTACAACATATGCATCGTTCGTAAACACATGCTAGTACATGCAAATATTACTAGCTATGGAGTCGTCCGTCCAAGCAGCTGTGGTCTTGTAGTTGGTCCGGGGTGGGTGGTGGGGATGTTGATTGAGCCGTTGGAAAACGAGAAACGTGGGTGGAGGGAATGAACTCCAACCCACGGTTTTTGTAGTTGGAGAAGGGCGTTTAGCGCGCTTCGACGCTGCCAAATATTCGGTACAGTCAGCTTCGCTTTCACAATACACAATTTTGAAAAACATCAATGTGTTTAAAAATTATAATATTGAGAAAGCTTGCTTTCTTGTCCTTATAATTTGGCATCGTTCTCATTGCAACTGGGGCCTCTGAGACATGGCCAGTGGTGGCTTGCGGTTGCGTAAGAGTGCCTCTGCGTGCTGTTCTGGGGGCAGCGCGTATGTCGGGTCCTGTAGGTCGCGGGATGCCTTGATAAGATGTCCGACGTATGGTGTGACGTACATCTCTTTGGCGGTGTCACTTCGCCACCTGCCCATCCTTTTGAAGATTCTGTCCGGCACGCCGATGTTGGCGGCTACGGTTGCCGCGCCCTTTCGGAAGGAGTGCGTGCCGAGCTGCTGCTCCCCAAGTCCTACTTTGGCGAATGCTTCTTTACACCAGTTTCGGATCGTTGTGTACGAGGGTGGCTTGGCATGGCCCTTGTTGGCTGAAGCGTGGCTGAAAACGCGAATCAACGACCCCTCGGAATGAGGGCCATAGCCAGCGAGTTGGAGGAAGCGTTGGGTGCAGCGCACGGGGCAACAAGGGTCCGTCGTTGCGGCGATGGGAATCCAGGTTCCACGACCAGCCTGGTCCGTTTTTGAGTGTGGGATGAGGATCCACATGACTACATCGTCGAATTGGATGTCTTGCCACTGGATGGCAACGAGGTCGGAGTATCGCAAAAATCCGGAGTACATGAGGATAGGGATCAACCCCTTCTGAAATTCAGCGGGATTGTCCGACTGCAAGTAGTTCGCGGACATGTCCCGAACTTGTTGGATTGATACGGGCTCCTTCAAACGACTAGGGCGAGGGCAGTGTCGTTTCGCGTAGTCCCGCACTTGGGTGGTAAACGGTCCGACAGTCGGGCATTTGCTTCCAGTCATGCGATGGGCGAAGCTGACTGCCGAGCACGTGAGCTGCACTACAGACAAAGTTGCTTTGCGTTGGATTGCATGCACCAAGTATAGCGCGAGGGTCATGTCGGATGCGGGAAGAAATGGAAGATCCACCTTTGTGCAGAAGGCCCGAAACTTGGCCCAGTACGGTTCGTATGTACGGATTGTCGAATTCGCTCGCGATTGTGTGAGCATGTTGATGAGTTGGTTGTGTAGCTTTGGGAGCGGATCTGGACACAAGGCGCGTACATTCTCAATTAGTCAAAAACCACCCGAAGTGCGATGATTGGGCTGTGTGGTAATCCAGTGCCTGAAAAAGCAGCGGAATGTGTTCCAGCTGCCAGGCATTGGCTGCCGTGTGTCAAGGGAATGTGCGCGTGGATGTACGGTGCCCAGTTGCGTGGGGAAGGTTGTAAAAGTGGCCACCAGTTTGCACCCGGCCAGTGTGGGATGATCAATGTGAGCGATGCACGGGTGCGCTGTGCGTGATGGAGGACGGCCGGAACTAAATGGGGCGGGGGGAACGCAAAGCTATTTTCTGATGTCCATGCGAGCGAGAATGCATCGACTGCGGTGGCTTGTGGATGAGGAATTTTCGTGCAGAAGCGTGGCAGCTGGGAGTTGCGGGAGTTTGCAAAGAGGTCGATGGAATGGGGACCCCAACGCCGTTCTAAGATGCGGAACCACGGCGTCTTCAACGAGTAGTCGTCATGATCGACTGCTTTTGAGAGCTCATCGGCGTGTGAGTTTAGCTCCCGTGGGATCCATTCGATGATTAGACGCGTGCCGTGCTCCATGCATAGTCGAATGATGTCTTGGCAGGCCGTGGTAAGGTCGGGGCTGCGCGAGCCACCTTTGCGAAGGATGAAGAAGACGCCCTGATTGTCCACCCGCACAAGAACATGTTTGTGCGTGATCTTGCTGGAGTATGTTTGGAGTGCCCAAAGCACACCTTCGATCTCCCTCCGTGTGCTGGACGTCGCTCGCAGCGGCTCTGGCATTGTTGCGCTAGCTTCTTCGAGGCCGCCAGGAAATGTGGTCAAAGTGGCGCCCCAACTGTGAGCGCTAGCATCCACATGGATGACAGCGTCGTAGCTGTTTCGAACGTGAAACGGTGCACCGTTGAACCTATCAAACTCTTCGAGCCAGAAGTTTAGCTCCTCAGCCGCGTTTGGGGGGATGATCACGCTGCTTTTCCATGAAGGTGCGTCATTGATCACTTGTAGCATGGCGTGGCTGAAAGCACGAGCTGTTGCGCCCAGCGCGACGCCCATTGACGCGAGCATGCCTGTGATTCTGGCCACTTGGCGGACTGAGACGGGTCGACATGCCTTGCTTGCGCTCAACAGGTTCCGAATGGTTGCATGTAGTGAGGCTCGTCGTTCGGGACCGATGGTAAATCGGCCCGTGGCCGTGTCTAGCTCCACACCCAAGAATCGAAGGTGTTGCGATGGTGACAGCTGTGATTTCTTCGCATTTATCACCAAACCTGCTGCTTTAAGGTCCAGTATTACACGGTGGCAAGTAGCCTGCGCGTGAGCTTTTGACTGGCAAAGGAATAAGATGTCGTCCACGTATGGAACTACTCGGATGCCTTGCTCCCGCCAGCGACGGGCTAGCTGCTTGATGAGTTGCGTGAAGATGAATGGGGCTGTCGCAAGACCGAACGGCAATGAACGAAAGGAGTAAGTGCGCCCATCGAATCCAAAACCGAGAAACTTCCAGCATGAAGGATGGATATCGATGTGATGGTACCCGGATTTGAGATCAATAGAAAACATCCAATCCCCAGCGCGTGCCACGTCTGCCACACGGCTGAGTCCTTCGTACTTGAATTTTGGGACGATGAGGTTTGTGTTGACTTTTCTCAGGTCGAGGATGAGCCTGCATTTTTCTTTCTGCTCGACCACGTTAAGTGGGCTTATGCACGTAAGCTCGCTTGCGGCTGTCTCGACTGCAGCTCCGGTCTCTGTGAGTTCTTGGATGGCAGTACGAGTGAACGACGCATGCGCGTATGCACCAGCGTGGTTACGCTCCCGAAAGGCCTGTGGTGGGCCGTGGCTCCATGGAAGCCAGTAACCGTTGGCGATGATGGATAGGACGAGGCTGCAAGGGCACCATGAGCTCCACCACGCAAAGGTCGAGCGAAGCCGACCGCACATCCGTGTGACGGTTTTGTCCGTGACGGCGAATTCGTACGGGCCATCGTCGCGAGGCACCTCGTATTGTTGTGCTCCTGTATGTACGGCAAGGAAATGAACGCGACCAATCAGGTTGCACGCCTTAATTAGTTCATGCGTGTGACATATACATGCATGCGCGAAAAATGAACCGTCAACAGTGAGGACCATACGGACGGTTTGTCGTCATTCCATATAGGGCGTCCGATCGCACCTTGGCAAACTCTTTCTCATACTCTCTCCTTTTCCCTCCCCTCGTTTTTTTTTTTTTTTTTTTTTTCTGGAGGATTGATGCTTGGGACCATGATCATGCTTCCCTCGTGTGCTCTCTCTCTCTCTCTCTCTCTCTCTCTCTCTCTCTCTCTCTCTCTCTCTCTCTCTCTCGCTCTTTCTCTCTCCCTCTCTTTTTGGATGTGTTTCCATTGTTGTTTGAGCATTTGCATGCTTCGCTTGTCATGAGCTCGTGTCTTTTCGCGCGTGCCTTTACTTGGGCTAGGCGACATCGCTATGCCCTACTCCCCCCCCCTTGCTCCTTCTCACCCTTTTTGGGCTTCCAACGGTTGAACCAGGGCTGCTCATCCTTGCCATGCATGGTGGCGGTTTGAGTGAGGAGCGTACGTACTCTCTTTTTCTCCCTCTCCCCTTCTCCTCCTTTTTTTTTTTTTTTTTTTTAATCCTTGACAAACAAGAGGGGCCTTTAATAAAATCCCTATCTCTCATGGTCATACATTGTCATGCCTACTAGCATGTTTCTCATCCCATCAATTGGGGCATACGGGGGACCGAGAGGCATTCTTCCTCTTCCCCAAAGCTAGACCTACGGCCATACTTTATTACCCTATCCTAGGGGACCGAGAGGCATTCTTCCTCTTCCCCAAAGCTAGGCCTATGGCCAACTTCTACCACCCTATCCTAGGGCTGGCCATGGCCACCGCAAGCCCGACTAGGCTGCCCACGGTCTAAGCACTCAAAAGTGCACCGTGCATCGCGCCTAGAGGCGCGCTTCACCATAGCCCGAACCTTACACAACCGGTGCGGGTCCTTGGCCCCCATGCCCATTCCGAGGGCAGGCATTGGCGACGTGGCCTGGCTGTCCGCAGCGGAAACACGAACCACGAAAGCCTTGGAAGTTGCCCGAGGTTGGAGGGCCACGTTTTGGGGCGAACGCCTTGGCGCCGTGGTTTCCACCACGGTGGGAGCGAGCGTGAGCGCCCGCCGCTCGGTCCATGGCAGCCACGTCCGCGACGACTTGCTTGAACGGCCGCGAGGTGAGAAGGCTTTTCTGCAGGTACATCTTGTAGCGCTTGGCAACGCGGTCGTCGGATGCGTCTTCGACTTGAAACATGTCGAAGCGCGCGGAAATGTCGTCGAGGGCGGCGACGACCATTTCGAGTCCGCCCGCCAAGTCGCCGTGCTGCAGCTTGTGCTCTGCGTGTTTCAGGTAGGCCCGCATGTCCTCCAGAATCTCCGCTTTCGCCCGCACGTGCTCGTCGTTGAACGTCGCCGCCGACCAAGTGGTGTTAGTAGTAGAGGGGAGGGGGGGAAGATGCTCCATGGAATGAAAATTTGCGGTATGGACCGGAGCCTCACCATCATCGTCGTCGGAGACGTCGGTGTCGTTGTCGGCCGCTGGCGCAGGTGGGATGCTGGCTGGTGCTTCCTTGTTGTGCCGGTTCGCCGTTGTTCCTCGCGCTCCTTTTTCTTTTTTTGCGTTTTCCTTCTTAGCAGATGCAGACGCCGCGGGTTGTGCAATTTCCGTAGCTGTAACGCTGGCGGGTTGTTGCTGTAACAGGGACAGAAGCGCAGCGACCTGGTCCGGAGTCAACGCGTTGGTCAACGCCGGGGTCGTCGCGTCAGAAGAAGTCGATGTTCGGCGCCTCTGGCGCTGACGCGACGGTCCAGCCACAGGCGCCGGCGTGTGCTCCGCGTCAGGCGCGTGTGGCGCCCCAGGTGCTGCAGGTGCCGCCGTCGCCACTTGCGCCACACGCGCCTCAGGCGCCACAGGCGCCACAGGCGCCACAGGGGCCGAGGGGTGCTGCTGCTGGGGCGGGCTCGAGTTTTTGTTGACCTCGAGCCCGCCCAACAGCACGTCCACGGCAGTTGGGGCGGGCGATCCTTCCTCTGCCCGCCGCTTGTTACGGCGATCGCCCGTCATTTCTCGGGCGTTACGGTCGGAGTCGGAAACCGGCGCAGACGAATTGACGCGGTTAAGTGCCGGCGTAGACGCCATTGTAGATCGATTGTGGTTGAAAATGTCTTGCAGAAGTGTTGAGGGTGACTCGCCTCTGGGAAGGGTGCGAGTTCTAGCCAGCTTGGACGGGGAAAAGAACTACTCGAACGGAAATGTTGATTGAGCCGTTGGAAAACGAGAAACGTGGGTGGAGGGAATGAACTCCAACCCACGGTTTTTGTAGTTGGAGAAGGGCGTTTAGCGCGCTTCGACGCTGCCAAATATTCGGTACAGTCAGCTTCGCTTTCACAATACACAATTTTGAAAAACATCAATGTGTTTAAAAATTATAATATCACCAGACGGAACTGCCTTGGTGAATATATCAGCAGTGTGGCCCGAGTGGCCACGTGAGCAAGACGAAGCTGACCACGCTGCTGCAACTCTCGAGCCAGGAAGTAACACAGAGCGATGTGCTTCGTTCTGTGCTCTAGTCCGTGCTCCCGACACAAGGCAACCATGACCTTGTTGTCGACGTACAGAATTGGAGGAGAATGAGGCCTCTCTCCCATGTCACTCAGCAGGTAGGTGAGCCAGCGTAACTCATGTGCAGCCATGGCTGTGGCGTAGATCTCAGCCTCACAACTAGAGCTGAGAACAGAAGACGAGCGGGTAGACCGCCAAGAAACAGAGCCGCAGCCAAGGCTGAAAGTGTAACCCTATGACGGCCGCTGCGTAGCCAGGTCGTCAACACAAGACGCGTCTGAGTGTCCAGTGAGAACTGTCAGAATATATTTGCTGTTTAGCCTGCAGTGGGGTACTCTTGCTAGTCAAACCACTTCTCTTCCAATTTCTCGATACTCTCCCCTAGGAGAAACCCACTCGAACTTACCTATCTCCTAGTGTGGGCCTAGGCTACTAAGCCTAGGCCCCACACCTACTATTTTCACATGTTATCAGAGCCCGTTCTACCTTGGCCTGTGGGCCCCTATGCTTCCGCTGCAGTCCTTCTTCCTGCCGCGCGCGGAGCGCGCGGCGAAATTTTTTTTAAGGATTTCAGAGTTTTTCATCCCGCCGTGCGCTCGGGGCGCGCGGCGGTTTTCCCGTCCTTCGAAGCGCCCTCGGGGGGCCTGCGCGCTGCCCTCCCCGCTGCTCGTCGCGACGCCCGTGCGGGACCCGCGCGGCGTCACCCTGCTCGTCGCGACGTCCGTGCGGGACCCGCGGGGCGTCGCCCCTGCTCGTCGCGACGCCCCATGCGGGACCCGCGGGGCGCCGTCAGTTCCTGCAGCAGCAGCCGCCGCCGCCCTGCAGCAGCAGCCGCCGCCGGGCCTGCAGCAACACACGCCGCCGCCCTGCAGCAGCAGCCGCCGCCGGGCCTGCAGCAACAGACGCCGCCGCCCTGCAGCAGCAGCCGCCGCCAGGCCTGCAGCAGCAGCCGCCGCCAGAGCCTGCAGCAGCAGCCACCGCCAGAGCCTGCAGCAGCAGCCACCGCCAGAGTCTGCAGCAGCAGCCGCCGCAAGAGCCTGCAGCAGCTGCCGCCACCGATCCAACAGCAGCAGCCGCCGCCGCTCTGCCGCAGCAGCCACCGCCACCCAGCAGCAGCAGCCGCCGCCCTGCAGCAGCAGCCGCCGCCAGGCCTGCAGCAGCAGCCGCCGCCAGAGCCTGCAGCAGCAGCCACCGCCAGAGATTGCAGCAGCTGCCGCCCCTGGACCCGGTACGCTCTGTGCTGCCCTGCCTGTGCTGCCCTGTACTGCCCTGCCTGTGCTGCCCTGTACTGCCCTGCCTGTGCTGCCCTGTGCTGCCCTGCCTGTGCTGCCCTGTGCTGCCCTGCCTGTGCTGCCCTGTGCTGCCCTGCCTGTTGCTGCCCGTGCTTGTGCTGCCCGTGCCTGTGCTGCCCGTGCCTGTTGCTGCCCGTGCCTGTGCTGCCCGTGCCTGTGCTGCCCGTGCCTGTGCTGCCCGTGCCTGTGCTGCCCGTGCCCGTGCTGCCCGTGCCTGTTGCTGCCCGTGCCTGTGCTGCCCGTGCCTGTGCTGCCCGTGCCTGTGCTGCCCGTGCCTGTGCTGCCTGTGCCTGTTGCTGCCCGTGCCTGTGCTGCCCGTGCCTGTTGCTGCCCGTGCCTGTTGCTGCCCGTGCCTGTGCTGCCCGTGCCTGTGCTGCCCGTGCCTGTGCTGCCCGTGCTTGTGCTGCCCGTGCCTGTGCTGCCCGTGCCTGTGCTGCTCGTGCCTGTGCTGCCCGTGCCTGTGCTGCCCGTGCCTGTGCTGCCCGTGCCTGTGCTGCCTGTGCCTGTTGCTGCCCGTGCCTGTGCTGCCCGTGCCTGTGCTGCCCGTGCCTGTTGCTGCCCGTGCCTGTGCTGCCCGTGCCTGTGCTGCCCGTGCCTGTGCTGCCCGTGCCTGTGCTGCCCGTGCCTGTTGCTGCCCGTGCCTGTGCTGCCCGTGCCTGTGCTGCCCGTGCCTGTGCTGCCCGTGCCTGTGCTGCCCGTGCTTGTGCTGCCCGTGCCTGTGCTGCCCGTGCCTGTGCTGCCTGTGCCTGTTGCTGCCCGTGCCTGTGCTGCCCGTGCCTGTGCTGCCCGTGCCTGTGCTGCCCGTGCCTGTTGCTGCCCGTGCCTGTGCTGCCCGTGCCTGTGCTGCCCGTGCCTGTGCTGCCCGTGCTTGTGCTGCCCGTGCCTGTGCTGCCTGTGCCTGTTGCTGCCCGTGCCTGTGCTGCCCGTGCCTGTGCTGCCCGTGCCTGTGCTGCCCGTGCCTGTTGCTGCCCGTGCCTGTGCTGCCCGTGCCTGTGCTGCCCGTGCCTGTGCTGCCCGTGCCTGTTGCTGCCCGTGCCTGTGCTGCCCGTGCCTGTGCTGCCCGTGCCTGTTGCTGCCCGTGCCTGTGCTGCCCGTGCCTGTGCTGCCCGTGCCTGTGCTGCCCGTGCCTGTGCTGCCCGTGCCTGTGCTGCCCGTGCCTGTGCTGCCCGTGCCTGTGCTGCCCGTGCCTGTGCTGCCCGTGCCTGTGCTGCCCGTGCCTGTGCTGCCCGTGCCTGTGCTGCCCGTGCCTGTGCTGCCCGTGCCTGTGCTGCCCGTGCCTGTGCTGCCCGTGCCTGTGCTGCTGTTGCTGCCCGTGCCTGTGCTGCCCGTGCCTGTGCTGCCCGTGCCTGTTGCTGCCCGTGCCTGTGCTGCCCGTGCCTGTTGCTGCCCGTGCCTGTGCTGCCCGTGCCTGTGCTGCCCGTGCCTGTGCTGCCCGTGCCCGTGCTGCCCGTGCCTGTTGCTGCCCGTGCCTGTGCTGCCCGTGCCTGTGCTGCCCGTGCCTGTGCTGCCCGTGCCTGTGCTGCCTGTGCCTGTTGCTGCCCGTGCCTGTGCTGCCCGTGCCTGTGCTGCCCGTGCCTGTGCTGCCCGTGCCTGTTGCTGCCCGTGTCTCGTGCTCGCGCCCCCGTGCGCTCTGCTACTGTCTGCGCCCTCGTGCGCACTGTCCCCCCCCCCCCCCCCCCCCCCCCCTGCGGGTGTGGGGGTGCTCCGTTTGTGTCGCCCCTTCCTTCTCCTCCTCCGTCGTCTCCCACTGCTGCAGCTGTCGCTGAGGGGGGTGGTTGTGTGGGAGACTGGGGTTTAGGGTTTAAGGGGGGTGCGTGGGAGTGGAGCTAGCGGTGTAACAGCGGGTGTGTGTCAGGGGGGTGGGACTGTTTGGGGAAGCTGCATGGAAGTTGCCGTACTGTAGTCCGCAGCACCTGTAGTCCGGGGCGCTGTCCCGGTAGCCCAGTGAGCTAGACTTCTACGCCAGCCGCCCGTGGGTCCGTTGCCCGTCTGCCGCTACTTGAGCCGCGGGGCCTGTTACTCCTGTAGTCCGGGCGCTGTCCGGTAGCCGCTGTGCCAGTCTGCCTCCTGTTGCCCGTGTGTCTGCAGCTTCAGCCGTCTCCTCCTATCTCCTCTCCCCTCACTCTCTCTCCTCCTCCTCACTTGCCCGTTGTGACTACCACTAGCTTTGCTCATAATTCTTAACTCTAAACTATTGCTTCTTTAACTTGTGCTCAGAATGTGTGGTGACATTGTGATCCACCCTGAGCTTGTACTATTTTGCCTGCTCTGCTGATTACACCCCACTTTGGCTATGGGGGTGTGTCAGAATATATTTGCTGTTTAGCCTGCAGTGGGGTACTCTGTAATGAGTACAACCCAATTTAGGGCAATGTACTTGTATCCCAACTCTTGCTAGTCAAACCACTTCTCTTCCAATTTCTCGATACTCTCCCCTAGGAGAAACCCACTCGAACTTACCTATCTCCTAGTGTGGGCCTAGGCTACTAAGCCTAGGCCCCACACCTACTATTTTCACAAGAACAACTGAACCCCGCCCTCCAAGCACGAGCCCCATGCCCGATGTACTGCACAAGTAGCGCAACACCCTCTTAGCAGCCTCGAAGTGCTCTCGCCGGTGTCTCCCAAGTGCAACGTAGCGAGCCAGGATGCTAAGAGGGTACGCAAGGTCAGGTCATCAGGTACATGAGGCAGCCCACAAGCTCTGGATATGGGCCACTCGGCTCTATGGACTCATCCGAAGGCAGAGCTGAGAGCGAGTGGCCGGTAGCCATAGGAGTGGACTGTGGCGAGGAACAAGTGAAGCCGAAGCGCTGAAGGACCTGCTGCACCATGTGTGACTGAGTCAGTGTGATGGTGCGCCGTGCTCTGTCCCGGGTGATCTGCAAGCCAAGGTAGCTGCGCGGCTCACCCAAGTCTGTGCACGTGTGTCTCTTCTGCAACTCCGACTTCACAAGGGCGAGTGCCCCAGTGTCAGCAGTAGCAAAGACCAAGTCGTCGACGTACACGAGGATGTAGAACGGCGGCAGAGAAGTGTCGGTGCGTAGAAACAGCGACGGGTCAGCAGTGGAAGGGGCAAACCCAAGAGCCACAAGTGTCGTCCTCAGTATGTCGTGCCACTCACGAGGCGCCTGACGGAGACCGTAGACTGGCCGACGGAGGCTCCAGAGGGTACCAGGAGGGAACGACCCAGTGAAGCCAGGTTGGTGGCGCTGCTTGATCTCCTCGTGCAGACTGCCTTGTAAGAAAGCTGTGCGAAAGCCAAGAGAGTGAAGCTCGTAGTCACGCCGATCGGCAACGTGTAGCAACACCCGAAGAGTGGTCATGTTCTGGGTGGGGGAGAAGGTGTGGAAGAAGTCAACTCCTTGTCGCTGACTGAAGCCTCGTGCAATGTAACGAGCCTTGAAGACAGGCGGAGAACCCGGCGGCTGCTTCACCCTGAAAATCCACATGTCATCAATGATGTTTGCCCCAGGAGGGGGAACCTCATCAACGTAAGTGCCTGTGGACTTCCAGGATGCCATCTCTGCGTCCATGGCTGTCTGCCACTGAGAGGAGTAGGGACCCGCGATCGCCTCAGCGTAAGAATGCGGAGTCGGGATGTCTGGTGCATCCAAGTCTTCCTCAAGGGCAAGCAGCATGGCCACGAGATGAGGTAGAGCAGTCGCAAGACACTCAAAGTCCTCCTGCCTGTCCTCAAGGACGTCTGTGCCAAGAGCACTCTCACCCCCGACGGACGGAGGACAGACAGACTCAGACGCAGCAACAAGACTAGCGGTGCAGTCTAGATGACATGCAGCAACAAAGTCAACAAGCTCAGGGACTAAGGCAGACGCAGCAGCAGACTCAAACGAAGGGTCAGTGACAACAGTGGGTATAAGACGCGTGACAGTAGGGTGAGAAGCAAGAACCAGGTCAGACTCTGGGTCCGGAACGTTAGGCAGAGAAGACACAGGAGGAGACGGCAAGGGAACACGCTGTGGAATAGAGGAAGGACGAAGCGCCATAGCGTGCATGCCAGGAACAGGAGGCGGACGCTCACGAGGAACACGACGACCAGTGCGACGCGAGCAAACAGGCAAAGCAGGACGAGACGCAGGCTCACGACGCTCTGTAAGTGAGTGTGAGAGTACGACGGCTTATGCCAGCTATGCTTGCTTGCCTCTACTTTATCATGCTATTTCTAGCATAGGATAATCATATGCATGCATGAATTGCTTGATTTCCTAGGCTAGGTGCTTTCCTATATTTTATTATAGTTATAGCACCGAGCTAGGTTGCGTGCACCGAATTCTGGCTTTTCGGTTGCCACCGAATTGCCTTCTACCGAATTCGGTAAGGATCTGTTCGGGACGCTTCGCGACCCGCGGAACCTTCGCGTAACACCTGGTTACGGGGCCTTGTGTCGAGCCTATATATAGCCTCGTGTTGTACCCAGGGGGACATTCAATTCAATTCAATTTGAATCATCTTTTCTGAGCTCGATCCCAGATCCTCACACTTGGTAATCAGAGCGGGTTTACACGCGAGGTCTTCAACCGTTTAGTTCCGGCCTTTAAAAACCGCGGGGGCGACGACGAAAGCGCCGATACGGGTATGTAAAACCAGTTCCGCGCAATTTTTCTAAGTCCCCCTCGATTCGGTTTTCGAACACCCGTCAGATTTACTGGTGGAAAGGTTGGAGTTTCGACAGTTCGATCGAGTTTCATCTCAATGGCCCAGAGAATTTCGCCCAAAAAAGTTGGAATTTGGAGCGTCGGATCGATTTCTCCTCAACGGCCAAGATCGGACGCGAATTTCGCCTAAGGGAGATTTACGCAACCTACAGAATTCGCGCTCGTCGATTCTACAGTCAATTTGACTTGCAGTAAGTCGACCAGCACCTAGAATTCGATTATTTTTGTCGCGCATCTTCCTGTAAAGCACCAAATGGAGGGCCAAGGCGACAACTACGCGACTACGAGCGACATCGCGAGCCTCCGCACCGACATGGAGCAGACGCAGGCGACGCTTCGTCGACTCGAGGCTTTTCTGACAAGCCAACCAGGGTTCGCCACCGCAGCAGCAGCGACCACAGCGACTGCAGCACCGACAACTCCAGCAGCAGTGGCGACACCGACATTTCACGGACCAATGGCACCACTGTCGCCGAACCTCGAAGCAGCACGACCGAGGCTCCCGGAGGCGTTCGATCCAAGCGCGAAGGGATCTGACGTCCGGCGATTCGTGGCCACCCTCGAAATTTACTTCGAGGCCATTGGCTGTTCGACCCCGCAACACGACGCAGCAAGGATTCGGCTCGCAGCGACACTGTTACGTGGACCGGCTCTCGAATGGATTTACTACACCGACGTAGCCCGCGGGGAGAAAACGTGGCAGCAGTTTCGGGCAGATTTAATCGAGCGTTTCGAACCAATTAATACAACCTACATGGCGCGGCAGCAGATACACCGACACAAGCAATACAGTAGTGTAACACAGTACACGCAGCAGATGGAGTTACTGTTCAACCGCATCACCGACTTGACCGAAGGCGAAAAAATCCAGGCGTACACCGAAGGATTAAAAATGGAGATTCGGCGGCAGGTGATTGCGGCGAATTACAACAGCTACCGAGACATCGTACGTGCTGCCGAGCGATACGATGCGCTGACTCGAAGTCAACCCGAAACACGACGCTTCACGCCGAACCGTACATTTGGCACGGAGCGATCGGCACCCCCCACGTTCACCGAACCGATGGATATCGACAAATACGACGCGAAGCAGCAGCCGACAAAATGCGAATTTTGCGGCGCAGCAGGACATCAGTTTTTGTCGTGCTACAAAATGAAGAAAGCACGTGCGGCACTCCGGGACGGAAACAGTGGAGCACCCCCGAAGTAAAAAAACGGGAATCGCCAGTAGCCGCGGATCGACCTGGCGATCGCGTAAAGATCCGAAAAGCAGGAAAAGGCGACGACGTGGCGACTTCGGAGCGGGTGAAAATAGGAGAAAATGATGGCGCGAATTTAAAACGTCATGACCGGCCGGCATCAGGGGAAATCGCCGAGGCGAATGGAGGCTCCGCGGAAAAAGACTCTGCACCGACCGGGAAACTCCAGCCGAACACCCACGAAAGTAAGAATTCGTTAAAAGTATCCTATAAAGATGCTCTAACGAAGAATATTGCTTCTCGTGGTTTACAAGCCTTCAAAAAATTCAGGGGAGGTCTAGAGGCCAAGAAAAAGCCTTTAGAAATTATTCAGGTACCTGAGAAGTTGGGCAAAATACTACGGAGCGTAGAGAAGGGTCGTGCGTTCCGTGGAGTTAATATTCTCTCCCCGCAGCACAGTGTCAAGGCTCCCCGTCGCCCACAGGTGAAGCCTACACAGCTGCCAAGGCTTAGAGGAGACATCGAGGCTCAGGAAAAATTATACAAGCCTCGGAAAAATCCTCCTACCCCCCAGGTGAAGTTGGAAAGCGCTGAGTCAGGTATAGGAAAAAGGGAAGGTATTAAGTTTGATGTACCCTAGGATCCTGTTAACGAGACCCTCTTTGGCTACTCAGCACAGCAGAAACCACTACTCCTCGAGGTGTTATGCAATGGGCGACGCCTCCAGGCACTGGTGGACAGCGGTGCATCTCACTCGGTGTGTGACCGCGGAGCATTGGAGAAAATTGGAGAGAAGGCGGAAGAGACCCAGTTTTCAGCAACCATGGTGGACGGTACGAAGCTTCCTATCCACGGCGAAGCATCACTGCAACTACATATAGGTGCGTTGAGGTGGAAGCCGAAGCTACCAGTCACCTACATCAAAGGATTAGATTTTATCTTGGGGCGAGATTTCCTGAAGCA